GTGACCATAAGTGATAAATAATCACTTTATCTGTCTAATTGTCAAATTAGAGTTGTGATGAATTAAAAGTATGTAAAGTTAACTCAAGCTAGACATTAGGTATGTCTGAACTAAAATTTGTACAGCATTTAAAAGAAAAGAGACATGCACTCCATGGGAAAGGAGGAAATGATGTAGCATGTGATTCATACCACATGTGCAAAACATTGACCAAAGGGGTAATGAAAGTCAAAATCTCAACTTTAACATTGTGTGAGACCCTAAGTTTTTTTTAAGAATAAAATCTCATAGAATACCCTTATTACTCTATTCTGTTTCTTGAAAACCTCATTTAATGATTGCTATCTTAGAGTGTTACCAAATGATTAAGATAAATTCAATCTGCTGGGATATTTCTAGAAAAGCAAGTTAAATGAAAGTTACAAGAATCGAGAAAAGAGGAAGATTACGTTTTTGAATTATCACACTATAATCATGTGTATTCATTGGTCGACTAATTATGTTTTACTTTTATGTAAAGACAGAACATAATTATGAATACAACGGATATTTATTATAAATGAGATTGTTAGAAAAATGTGATAAGTAATCTAGGGTACTGCATACAACATACAACCTGAGTTTCACAATTCGAGAAGTTATATATTCCTAACAGATATATGACTAACGTGCTCTCGAAGTATGCATGGTCACACGGCATATTTACTAAAAATATGAACTTTAAAGAAGCACAAAGAGAGAAAGTTTCATCATGTGTGAGTGGGAGATATTAGATAAGTACACCCATGATGAGGGACGTGAGAAATGGAAACTGCCAAAGGCAGTTTCTCACGAACCACTGCCCATATAAAAGAAAGTTTTTTTTCTTTTAGTAAGTGATACACACAAATATACAAAAGGATATACAGGCACTCTCTCTCTAAAAATTGAAAGGAAAAATACTCTAAGCAGTTTATTCTTCCAGATTCAATTCTTTGCTTAAGAGATAAGAAGAAAATGTATTTATGCTGTGTAAATTCATTGTAGTTCGTTTATATACAAAATGTGATTGCAATGGGTGACTATGATCTTGGGATTACTTTAGGATATATGTTATTCTGTGTTTTTCCAACAGTAGAAATGGAACGGCGGGAAAAATTGCCAGTAACCAGAATATTGTGAAGGCAAGTAAGCCTAGAATATGTACCATGGTAGAAGAAGATGCCATATTTGCTACTAAATAAGCTTAAAACTTCATCCTGATACAGTGTAAAAGAGAGAACCAGGACATGGAAAAATACCAGAGCGATTAGCCTTTTTACAATGCCAGTTCTTCCATTACATTAGTAGTATAATCCAAACAACCCAGAATACAGGAACTTCATAAGATTCTTTACAATCAAATAACGCTTAAAGCAGAGAGAAAAAAATTCAAAATGGCACATATAATGTGTACCTAATTAAAGCAGTGTCACTGCAAAATGAGCTTGTTTTTGCTTCAAGCGTTGAAGTAAGCGCAATTGTTATTCTGCACGACTCAAGAGACTTTTTTTTTTTTTTTCAATACCAGATCAGCAATGGCCTTTGCTGCATATATTGTGTTCCATAAAAGTTTTAAGTGCTCTTTTATTTGAGTCATTCATTTCTGATTAGAGGTAGTGAAAAGGGGACCTTGGATCAGGGTTGCACGATATTATGAGGCTCCATCAATACGGGAGCTTCCCTATTTAAGTCGCCATTCTTTTAGGCACAGACTTGTTGGCAGCCCCCTGGACCAACTATAAGTCTTAAAATAATGCCAAATGCCTATGTTTTTGTAGTGTTCTTTATTTTACTTCTTTTCTTTACAACATCCTTGAGGATTTAATGTTTTTGATGGCTGATAGGTTTTGGAAAACATATGATTTAGGATTTTAATTTAAAGCTGTACCGTAAACCAGCTTTGTTGGAAGAAAAAAAAATTGAATTTTGTTCTTGACAATAGAATATTACAGCAAATTTCGAAGCATAGCAGGAAGACTGCCTCAAGCAAAAAATATTTACATGAATAGATTCTGCTGAAGGAGATCAGTATCATCTTAACAACATCAAATCAATTTCTGTAACTATCAGGGTTGAGGGCACTTCGAATTTGATTTGATTCCAGAAGGATAAGGTATATGCAAGGTGTGGAGCACGGCGAGCTTGCTCACATACTATCAAGTTGGCAGCTAATCCAAGTAATGAGAGGTTCCCAGCTACTGTGCTGACCCAAGCTAAAATTAGCCACGACTTCTTCTCATCGGCTGCAGAAATTGCAGCTGCAGATGCTGCTACTCGACCTCCAAGCAGGAGAACTAAGGCGATGGAGAAAATTGTTAGTACAAGCAGCCAGTACAAGTATTAGAAGGTTTAATAAAAAAATCAGTCTTGTTTTATAACAATCACGCTAACTTATGAATAAACTGGACTTGCAGGAGATATCATGTAATGCTGTAGATATATGCATATAAGACCATCTAAGCAATGTTTCAGCAAAATTCTTTGAATGTGACAATGGTGAAAGAACAGAAGACACTACGCTCAATTTGTGTCTTTAACTGGTTGTTAGTATCCCACAAATCATGAAACCATATTGTTGACAGTTCACTGGGCCAGAGTTGTAAGATCAAAGGCCAGTTGTCATGCACAAAGGCCAGTTGTCATATGGATCAAGCCCAAACACAAACAAATGGAGGCCCAGAATAGTATTCTGCATGTTTGGCTTAATATTTTTATCCCTATTCTGGATCCTATTCTCCAAATAATGTTTGGCACATTATTTCAGAAATATTACCCTATTTTTTTAATTACATTTAAACCCCATAAGGTTATTAATTTCACTAAATACCCCCTGAAAAAAAGTTTAAAAATTAACAAAAACACCCCCATCAACCCAACTTGTCAGATTCCGACAACCACCATCGGTGATAGTCGGAATCTGTACAACGGCCTAACTTCCGACCAGAAATGGCCGGAAGTTCACCGCTGTGGCCTTTTCCGGCCAGATCCACCACGGATCTGGCCGAAAAAGGCCAGATCTGGCCGTCAGCGACGGCCAAAGAAATGGTCGTCGTTGACTGAAAACGACAGCCACATCTTTGGCCGTCGCTGACGGTCAAAGATGGCCCTCGTTTGGCCTTTTCCGGCCGTCGACGGCCATAACAGACCGTAGATCTGGCCTTTTCCGGCAAGATCCACCATGGATCTGGCCGGAAAAGGCCATAACGACGTGTTACGGCACAGATCTGACCGGTCTGTGCCGTAACGAAATTTTTCGGCCAGATTCCGGCGGTGGTGGCCGAAATCTGACACTGCAGGTGGTGGGGGTGTTTTTGTCATTTTATATGTTAGGGTCTTTAGTTAAATTAGTAAACCTAAGGGCTTTTTCACAAATTTTTAAAATTTACCTCGTAATACTCCCCTATCCAATAACCCAATACTATCCCTAAAATCCTATCCAAAATACTAANAATGGATGTGGAGGGAGATTATGTTGCCGAGCAATTTTCAATACAAACTCAGTCAAGACCACACAAGAGGTATCATTGGTGAAAAGAGCACTTGAAATGGCTGAAATCAAGCAGATTCGACAAATTAAGTCCTTCGGTCCTTTGCTTTTCCAAGAGAGCAACTTACCCAAGTATTTGAACATATCTGCTCTTTCCAGATACACACTCACGACCATTGTCCCAAAGAGAAGACCAAGTATGGGAAGATCAATTGCAGCATAGGCTTGATCAGGTGATATGACTTGGAATAAGACCATAAGCATGGCGCCTAAGAGGGATCCTGCAGTCCTCCCTATTGGTAGAAAAGGGACAGCTGGGAAAACCGCCAACACCCAAAAGATTGCGAAGGCAATTGAGCCCAGAATCACCTTTACTAGAGATGCCATTGCCATTTTCAATCTCAGATAAGCTTTACAATCTTACTCTTACACCAAAATCCAAAGACTCAAAATATTAATCTTTATATGAACTCCTTGGCTTGTACCATCACCGTTTCTTGCCGAAAAAGAAATGCAAAGCATGAACCGATGTGTGATATCATTTTTCTATGAAAATTTGATCTTCGTACTTTGCCACACAGTTAAACAGCCCTTTGAAAATTTAGTTAAGCGGTAACCAAAAAATGAACAAATGCAAATACTATAGCAATTAGGGACTCAATTGAAGACAAATAACAATTTAAAATCAAAGAGAATGATCAGTCAAGTAGCACCAAACTACAAGCAACTCCCAGTAAAAATTTCAACGCAATGAAACAGCATGAATCAATAGAAGATAAAATAAGCAGTCAAACAAAAACAACTAAAATCTAGATTCAAAAGTTAGCAGTAATATTGAATCATAACAAGTAGAGTGATAAAAACAAAAAGGGGTCTTATCTGAATCAAATTCAATACACAAGCAGCAAAAGCACAGACAAAATTAGTAATGGTAGAGAATAGATTAAATTGAAGAACCTTTTAAAAGATTCATCCAGCTCCTTTCTTTAAAAACTCCGATAACTTACATCAAATTTATTCTTTTCTTGTCATAAAAATATAAATTTGGATAATATCATTATATTTTAAAAGTTTATAGATAGAAAAACATTATTAAACAATTATTTAAGTGGGTAAAAGTAACTCTAAAAATTATATTGAGTTGTTTTCAGTACTTCAATCAATGTTGCTTCCATCGCCATTGTGTTATCAAAATTAATATCTCGAATAAAATAAAGTTTTCATTTGCCAAGAAATTATGCATAGAATTCAAGGTTGACCAAATGATTTTATTACTTAAAAAGTTAATTAAAATAATACTTGGAACATTGCTTGTTTATATGTGGCTGAAAACTAATAATGCTAATACCCAACTGGGCAATTGTTTGTGGCCAGAGGCCCAGAAGTATTGAATTATTAGTAAGCCAATCTGATGTAACTGTAAAACCCTAAACCAAACAAAAATAGAAGAAATTGGCAAACCCCACGGTTTCATATCTCCTTCCCCAAAACAATGCTCTCCCGTCTCCTCCCCAAACGCTCGCATTTCCGTCTAATAACACATCTTTATTCAAAATCTCAACCCTATCCCCAAAACCCTTACTTCTCTCCCCTTCTCAACTTATGTCGATTTCTCTCCACCAACAACAATGACAACAACAATAATAGCAAGGATCCGTCCACGTCCAATCCCTGGAACCTTTCTCGGGAAAATGAAGGAAAATTCGACTCGCTGTTCAACGTCTTGGATACGGAACTTCGTGGTGGCAGTGAGGATGTTTTCAGTAAGAGTGGAGGTGATTGGATGGCTCCGGGGTCCACGGAGGAGGAGTACAAGCCGTGGAGTTTTGTAGAGGAAAAGAAGGATGATGACGTGTTCGATCTCGGGGAGGGTGTACGGCCAGTTGATGAAACTTTGGGTGAGAATAGTGCAAGTATCCGTAGTGAGATGACTCAAGAGGAGAAGGAGATGCTTGAAAGAGAGGAGAAAGAACTTTCTGCTATAGTCAAAGGCAAGCAATTTTTTTTTTTTTTTTTTNGGAATTTTTTTATTAAAAAAAAAAAAAAAGTAGTAAATTTTAGGGGCAGTGGTTGTTTGAAACTTTAAAGGTATTGTTGAAATTGAATAAGACCAACGACACTACAGCCAATACATGTGGAATTGAGTATAATACACTCCCTCTCATAAAAATGACAACTCTTTTTTGTACAATTTTGTTATTAGGATCCGGCGGTGACACTTCCGATCAACAAACGGGTTTGGATGTACGCGAAGAATATGCACATGCGTTTCGAACCGAATCATACAATGAATTTTGGACACGTGTCCTTGCACTGACAAATGGAAACTCAACCACCAAGTGTATTCCTATTGAGTCCACCACAGCGGCTCGGCTCTCTTCCTATCGTCTCTTTGCGGAGCAACTTTTGGATCCGGATCAACCCACTGTTACTCGTATCCTTTCTTTGAAAAAGGCTCATTCCCTTTTAACAAATTATTTCTCTCAAACTGCTGAGGCCTCTCTTTTATGCAGTCTTTTATTCAAAAATATAGATAATATCCGAGAGAAATATCAATGTTTTAAGACCGTTATTCAATCCCTTGAAAATGCTCATTTTTTGCCTTCAAATAATTTATTGTGTATAATAACCCGATTAACTGAATTATCCAACTTATCAAACCCATTAACCTCATCCGCTCCATCTCACTGTCGGGTTCGGATCATTCAAGCCGGGTGCTTGAAATTACTCAAGCAATTTGAATCAAGTCGAGACAAGGCTCGAACCAAGCTACGCCTAATCAACGCATCAAAACATGGCTCGGCTATTTTCTTAGTGGCTTTAACAGCTTCATTAACTGTGATAGTGGCTTCACATGCTCTCGCATTACTAATAGTTGCACCAAGCCTTATAGCAGCTTCGGTTGAGCTGACTTCAACTAGAAGGCTGGCTCGAGTGTCGACTCAACTTGATGTAGCCGCCAAAGGGACTTATATATTGAACAGGGATCTGGATACAATAAGCCGGCTTGTGGCTCGGCTAAACGATGAACTGGAACACATGCGTTCGATGGTGAAGTTTTGGCTGGAGAGGGGAGAGGGCGGTCGACTACAAGCCAGTGGCGAAGTGGCGCGCCAGCTAAAGAAGAATGATGCCAGCTTTAGCCAGCAGCTTGATGATCTAGAGGAACATTTGTACTTATGTTTCATGACCATCAATAGATCCAGAAACCTTGTACTGAAAGAGATTCTGGATCCGAGTCAACCCAGCTCGCATCCAGGAATTTAAATAACATATAAAAATAATAATCTATTTAATTTTCTTTTATGAATTTGAATTCTTACTTGGGATTTCTTTTTTCTTTGCTTTTATTAATTATGTTGATTAAGCTTCAAATCACCCATTTCTAAAGTAGTCTTAATTACCACTCATAGGTAGTCCAACGGTAAGGGCGAACTAAGGGGGCTAAAAATGGTACAACCCATATCCCAAGTTTGATTCTTCGGTTAAGCGCAAAAATAATGCATTTACTATGATTTCCCTAGGGGGTCATAATAGTGGGTTATTATGGGATAACTCCTTCTAAGGATTAATAGATGTGCATGTAAGCTGGTCCGGATACCTCGATTATTGGCCCAACACCTCAGTTATTTAAAAAAAAAAAAGGTAGTCTTAATTATGGAAATTTCCCAACTAATACCAAAGGTTAATAAATTTTAGTAAATTTATGAAAAGAGTGGGTCATTCCTCCCAAAATTATAAACCTAATAAAGTTTCTGACCTTCATTTTACTGCTCATTTATTATCTACTAAACACTTTCCCACTCATGTTCATTTCATCGTGTTTTCACGCCACGAAAATCTTGTACTTTAAACCTGTAATTAATAATAAAATCTCAATTATTCTATTTTAATTTATTGAAGTTGGTATTTCTCAACTAATTTACCAATAATTTCATTTTCACCTCTAAATGTGAACTGAACGTATTTTTCCCATGAGAAATCAAATCAGAAATGGAAAAATAAAAATCACAAACTTCCAAAGGCCAGCTGAGCTCTCATCATTCGAGCTCTCGCGGGCCATTAATTAATTAATGGTGCAGACACAAGGTTAGATGACACCGTAAAGTTGATTTAATTGATTATGAAATAATTGACCACAGAGGCAGCTCAAATTCAACTCCTGCTCAACAAGTCGGTCTATAATAATGAATAAGGAGTTGGAGGCCATTCATATTAATTGTCACCACATATTTAACAACTTCTTATTCAAGCTTTTATTAACTCCATTAAGATCACATATACATATTTCATACTATCAAAATCTAACATGTCCGATTAATTACAATCAAATTTCAATTGTATGCCATTCAAAGTCCAAGGTTTCAATCTTATACACTTGTCTTATGTGGGTTGGTTTCTTCATCCTTCTTATCACACATTCATAATCCGTTTTATTAATTATAATTTATCAGATAATAATTTGACTCTGATAACTATTAATGCGATATTAACAACTTTTGAGTGGCCGAGTGGAATGATAGAGACTTTTAGGTGTATTATTCAAGAAATATTAAGTTTGATTCTTCTCGATTGCTAATAGAGATAACCATTAGAGGGTTTTCATGATCGTTAACTTTAGGGTCTCAAATGATAAATCGAGGTGTGGACAAACTGGTTTGGACACTCCTAATAAAAAAAAAAAAAAAAAATGAATGCTGAAATGGTTGATAGGTTGACTTTCCACCAAGCTCGAAGCATTGCGATGATATAGTTCGATCCAGTTCAGCTCGACTCCATCGATTATTCGACCAACATAAGCTTCGAGCTATAGCTCGACCCAACATAAGCTAGTCGCGAACAATCCGAGTGATCATTCAACCAATTCCTAGATAACTTTATATCCCAGATATCTCAGGAATGATCAAATTGACAGCAATCTTTGCGCAATCATAGCACCCAATCGCGAGAATGTCGAAGTTGCATTTCAATTTAATTGTAATCCCTTTACTTTCGCTCTTTCCTTTGTACAAACTCTGTATATAAACTCCATCAAACAATGAGGAAGGGTTGGAAAATATTCCTAAAATTACTATTGTAAACTCTCACAGCAAATATAAAGAATAGTGGATATAGGCTCAAGAGTTCATCTCGCTAAACCACTTTAAAATCCTTTTTGCCATTTACTTTACTACATCCATTATCCATTTATTGTTGCTTATCCATAATCACACACACCAGTTTTGATCTCACCAAGGTCGATCGGATCACTCTAGTTGGTGCAAATTTTTGTATAACATTTTGGCCTAGAAAAAAGGTCTCAACTAACATCTTAGAAATTTCGGCAACAAACCACAATTATCTAACCATTTTAGGCCCACGATGGTGCATACAAGATCAAAAACCACCACCGGAAACCACGACAATGTGGAGACCACCCATCAGGAGGTGCAATAGGATGTTGTTGGGCATCGACCACCATTGTCGCCATCTCAGCATGCCATGAATAACCAGAGGGCAGGAACGTCAAACCCCGAAAATGGCCAACTGGTGGAGATGATAAAAAATATGGTTGCACAGGCGGTGCAACAGAATATAGCTGAGTTGAGAAATCAACAACCAATGGCCCAAAACCTTAACCAGCCGCGCTTCATTGATTCCACCCTGATAGGTCGAACTTCAGTCGTGGACAGTCTAGCTCATCGGCGCCAAGGCGCGACTGACACCCCCGACGTCAAAGGGTGCACTCCGCTCACGAGTGTAAGTCACACGGGCAAACTAACCCTGGGAGGCGGCTTGGGAAACAACCAATGGGTGAAAGCGAATGTAGTGGTTGCCCACGAAACGCTCAACCTACCCGACAGAATCCACGGCGTCAGCATGCCGGTCTTAACCCACGCCCAAGACAAGTCTTATCCTAGCAAGCTTGCGAGATGAGTAATGTGCGCCAATCTGGCAAGGACCGACATTCCAGTTATAACCGACGTCATGAGCAACGCACTGATGAGCATGATAGCACTTATCAACCGAGTCATCATCACTCAACCTCGTGCATCAATGCGCGTAATGGAGGGGGTTCACAATCAACAGATTTGTGAACTCACTTGCTCGAGGTAAGGTTGAATAAAACTAGCCAGAACAATCACAATGAAGACTTGGATCGTGTGCAAAAAATACTTGACAATCTAAGGGCCCGCCAGAACGATGTTGCAGAAGAAATAATGAGTTCCCCCTTCACATAGGAGGTTCGGCCCAGCCCCACTTCCACAAGGATTTAGGGTGCTAGAGAGTAAGTTCGACGGGAAAGGAGACCTTAGAGACCACCTCGACAATTTCAATGACTTGATGGAGTTGCACCAGGTTTGTGACCTAACGAAGTGCCGCCACTTCGCAGTCACATTGATAGGGGATGCCAAGAGGTGGTACAAAATACTCAAGGCGAACTCCATCAGTTTTTGGCAACAGTTCTCCTCGTTGTACTTACAGCAATTCCAGGCGAGGAGATAGTTTGCAATGCCACTTGAGTAATATTCGTCAGGAGAGAGACAAAACCCTGACCTCATATTTAACGATGTTCCAAAATGAGCAAGCAAAGGTCGCGGATACACCCAAAGAGTCAATCTAGACTTTGCTAATTGCAAGCATCAAGCCGAACATGGAGCTATGGAAAGAGCTCCAAAGCAAAGATCACGTGAGTCTGGCGAAGTTTTATCAGATGGCTGCAAAGCACCAGCAAGTCGAAAGCTTGTTAGTAACCTTAGCTAGAAGCTCGCCACAAAGAGCCCCAAACAAGCGACAAGATCGCCTATCAGATAAGCGAAGGGGCCAAGACCGTAATGATAGGGACCAAAATAGGTCCCAAAAAAGACAGAAAATAGATAACCGCAGGGACAGGCAGTCTTTCCCGTGATACGTAGAATATACCCCCCCCCCCCCCCCCCCCCCCCCCCCCCCCCCCCCCCCCCCCCCCCCCCCCCCCCCCCCCCCCCCACACACACACACACACACATGACATAGCTCACATTTACGAAGTCTCCAATGAGGAAAAAAGATTGTCCACTCCAGAAAGGATGAGAAGGGTTTCGGGCAGAAGAGATCGGTAAAAATATTACCGATACCATCGCGACATCAGACACAACACCAATGAGTGTCGGTCTTTGAAAGATGTCATCGAAGACTTGATATGAAGGGGCTACCTAAAGGAATTTTTCAATGAGGCACCAACTCGCGAAAATATTGACAAGCAAAATAACCAGGTCTAGCAGGCGCCGACCAACACCAACCATGAGGTTTTGGTAGGTATGATGTACGGGGGGCTTGGCATAGTAGGAAGCTCAAGGCACACCCGCGAGCAATATGCTCGCGAGGCCAGAATAGATTCGGTCTCCCAAGTAATGAGTTGTGAACAGAAGCTGCCAAAACGGCTTAGACATGAGAGTAAGGTGGTAGGATTCACTATTGAAGAATGTAAAGAATCCCTTCGCTATAATCATGATACGATCGTAATCGCAACTAGGATCGACAATGCCAGATTGTTGAGGGTAATAGTCGATAACGAAAGTGTAGCGAACATCATCTTCTTGGGAGCTTTTCGAGAGATAAGGTTCATAGAGAGGGACTTGAGGACATGTCATTCATCGTTGTACGGATTCACCGAGGACAGTCTGGTTCTCAAAGGAACGATCGACCTTCATGTGACTCTAAGGGCAGAACCCAAAATCTGGACAGTAATGGCTGAATTTTAGTGGTAGATTGCCTAACCACATACAACATTATCATCGGAAGACCGATCTTGGATGATTTAAGTGCAGTCACATAAGTGCGTTGCCAAGCAATGAAGTTTCCAACTCCTGGGGGATTCGCGACAATCAGGAGCTATCGAAAAAAATTTCGGGAATGTTACAATCGGGCCATAAGCACTACATTAAAATGGCCACTCCCGAGAATAGTGGTTATTACAGAGTCTAAACCACACCACAAACTTCTAGAGGATACTATAAATCCTCGTATCCATAGAAAAGAGCCTGCAGCAGAGCCGATGGAAGAGCTACAAGAAATATGTCTTAGCGAAGAAGATCCAACTTACGTACTGAAAATTAGTTGTAGCCTAAGCAAAGAAATAGCTGATAATTTGGTGGGGGTTTCTGAAGAAAAACTTCAACGTGTTCACATGGGTGCATGCAGATATGGTGGGGATCAGTCCCAAGGTAATGTGTCACAAGTTGAACATCGACCCAAAGACTCAGCCAATAAGACAGAAAAGAAGGTCTATGAATGCAGAGCGTTCT